GGTTAGATTTCTAGATGAGTAGTTTAAAGACCGTTGGGAAGTTTCTGTTTCTACAGTTTCTGGCTCTGATTTAGTGTTTAGTTGATTCTTTACAAACCCTCGTCTGATTGGTTGTTGTCGGTGTTTTCAGGTGGTTGGACTCGTCGCGTTCTCTCATGGAGCAGGACATCCAAGACGACGACAAGCTGCTGCTTCGCTTCAAGTACAACGTCTTCTTCGACCTGAATCCTAAAGTGAGACGCCCAGAATGTTTCCTATAAACGACAAGCGGGGCGGTTTCAGTGTGAAGTTGTCGAACTAAGCACGTGTTTGTGTGTGTTTGCGATGCAGTACGATGCCGTGAGGATAACCCAGCTGTACGAACAGGCCCGCTGGTCCATCCTGCTGGAGGAGATCGACTGCACCGAGGAGGAGATGCTCATGTTTGCTTCGTTACAGGTGAACAACAAAAACAAAAGCATGATTTTTCACATTTTAAACTCTTGTTTTGGGCAATATCATGTTTCTATCTCCACTGTTTGGGTGCAAAATATCTGTAAATGATCATTTAGTGGGACTTACGTATGGCAGAAGGCAGGATACATCACCAGGACGTTGTTGTTACTAAGATGTTTAAGTTGATTAGTATTCATTTACAAGTTAACATTAAGGAAGGAGGCAACAACTGTAAACTATAAACTCTGATGATGTGACTGTAAGCTGCTGTGTCAGCCCTTCGAAAAAAACAACACATTTATAGAAATGGCAAAGTCACAATCTACCTCAGTAGCAGCAATGCAGCTGCATATAGAACCAGAACCAATTTAATCAGACCAAACAGGAAAGAGGAGCGTAGGAGCCCAGGATGACTGACTGAAATCCAGAATGATTAATCCATCCATCCATCCGTTATCTATACACCGCTTAATCCTCACTAGGGTCGTGGGGGGCTGGAGTCTATCCCAGCTGACTTAGGATGAAGACAGGGGACACCTATCACCTATCACAGGGCTACACTTAGAGACAGACAACCAAGCACACTCACATTCACACCTACAGACTATTTAGAATCACCAATTAACCTCAGCATGTTTTTGGACTGTGTGGGAGGAAGCCGGAGAACCCGGCGCAGCCCATGATTAATCCAATGAATCATTATAATAATAAAAATAAAACTCAATGATTAAAATCCAGATTTGTGGTAGTTTGTGGGGTTCATCATCAAATTCAGACCTCTGCTGTTCAGGATTATCGCCCACGTATCACATCTCTCTGCATTCAGCTCAGTGTTCAGCTACATCACAACATTCTCCTGCTTGACAGACCTTCTCCCAACCTTCTTCAGATACCGTCGAATCATCTTCTGCTTCTTCTACCATCTATCCCAACTTTAAAACTCTGTTGCATCCTCAGAATGGCAACTCAAAACACAATTCTACCAAACAGCATAACAATGATAACTCAGCTCTAATCCTCTCTTGGCAAATCTACTTTGATGTTGTCGCTGAACCCTCTGAACCCCTCAAGCAGTTTTCTTTGCTCCTGTTACATTTTTTTTTCACTGTGGGCTCATTTTTCAACTTCTCACTTTACAGTTGAGTCACGAATGGCTTCGTGGTTTTATGAAGGAGTGCTGAATTTTTCACAGAATCTGGAAAAACAAACTCTTGAATTCTTTAACAAGACATGCAGAATAACGTGATTTTGATCAAATACCACGATTTGAAGCCTGGATTTGGTTTCGTTTACTGATGGAACGCTGCTGAGTAAGATAAGATGAAACTTCCTTCATCCCGGAGGACATTCTTGTGCCAAACATTGCTCAAAAACAAAATAAATGCAGTGCTTAATCGAAAAACAACACTCAAACATCAACAAACAAACAAACATCACTAATTTAAAATAAAAATACATGAGCTAAAATACGACTAGAATAGAAAAGTTAGAAGTCATGCTGGCAATAGGAAGAAGTAATATTGCACGGAATAATGAAAGAAGATAAAGGAATGAGTTGTAAATCATCAGAAAGTCCGAAAAAATATGTTCTTTTCAGTTTTTGCCTCATAAATGATGTCATTTTGGAGTTTCAAAAATCAACAACATTCCTTTCAGACCTGCCAGAGGCCTCATTGCTGTGTAATTATGCTCGATATATCGTAAAGTGTCCTTGGGTGTGTTAAAAAGGCAGCAACAAATCAAATTTATTAGCATTATTATGAACTACACCACTGCAGGGTTCTAGTGACGCGGCTTGGATCAGGTTTAGGTACAGTCTATGTTTGTGTCGGAGGATAGAGGAGAGCGAGTTCGGTGTCTGAATCCTCGTGAGGACGTGTCAGGACAAGAAGAAAATCCCAGTGAAGAGGGAGGACAGAGAGCAGATGAAGGTGGAATAAGAGGAATTGTAGCTCCCCAAAAAGAAAGAAGCCAATGATGACCATAAGTTTGATCTGCGACCTTCTTTGTGTCTGAATCTCAGCCCATCTCTGGTGCCTTCAGCTCTTCTTTTTTAACTGTTGGGACAGTGATTCAGAAATCGCAGCGCTGCCTTCACCTACACACTGCTGCAGCAGCGGCTGCTCAGACCTCCCTCTGACTCACGCCAGCCTTGCATAACCTCCTCAGTCACGGCGGGAAACTTCACAAGGGCCTGAAAAACAACAAAAGAAATGTTGCTTTTTTAATTAGAAATGTCCTTTTTTTTTTTTTTTTCCAGTATCACATTTGTAAACTGACCATGTCGAGCGAGCCGCTGGATCACTCCAACGAGCCGGAAATCGACGAGGTGGAGGCCGCCCTGTCCAACCTGGAGGTGACGCTGGAAGGAGGACACACGGACAGGATTCTGGTAAACATGTATTCTTTTTTTTATTTTTGTTTTTTTTAAACTGATGGTTTTGAGGGTTTCCGGGTGTGTTACAGTAGAACACCTGTTTTGGAGGCGATAGGTAGGAGCTCGCTGATTGCATGTCTTCACAAGAAGATGCAGGATAATGGACAGTTGTTTGTCTCGCCTCCAGGAAGACATCACAGACATTCCAGAGCTGGCAGATTCCCTCCGGCTCTTTAGGTAAACCCGTCTTTATACGTATTACACCGCATGTGAACTGCACATTGCATGTTCAGTGCCCTTAAATGCACGTAATATGGGGATTTTTTGGGAGGTGATTTACTTAACAGATATTTTATTATAATATTCTCTGCTTTTATCTTATTGTTAACAACCTCAAGGCTGTCTGATACCGAACATAAAAGTCTTCTGTAGAGCTGCTCTGAATAAGAAGTCTGTTACTTTTTTGAATCAGGCCTAAAAGACTGACGCTGCGGCCCTACAAAGAGTACTGGTTCGTGTTCAAGGACACCACCATCTCCTATTACAAGAACAAGGAGGCCTCCGTCGGAGAACCGATAGAACAGTTTCACCTCCGAGGTCAGTGATGAAGAATGTTCTCAAAAAATTCTTTGTATTTTTTTGTGCATCAGTAACCTTCAATACGAGCTGTACCTGCTTATGTTATTAAGTCTTTCAGTAAAGTCTTCTGTAGTTAAATTCTTCACTGTTTTCCCCTCTTCAGGCTGTGAAGTTGTTCCTGACGTCAACGTCACGGACAAGAAGTTCGGCATCAAGCTGCTCCTTCCAGTCGCTGATGGGATGAATGAAGTTTACATCCGATGTGACAATGTAAGACCTTCCTCGTCATCCGCATGGTTAACAGCATTTCCCTGCAATAACCAGCAAGCCTTTTTAAAAATCCCTCCATGCAAACATTAAAAAAAAGCAACAAAAAACAAAAAACGTGAGGCAGATTTTAAACTTGTCCTTCTTTGCAGGAAACGCAGTACGCCAAGTGGAAAGCCGCGTGCATCCTCGCCTCCAAAGGCAAGACGATGGCCTACAGCTCCTACAAGTCCGAGGTGAAGAACATCCAGTCCTTCCTGCAGATGAAGAGCCTGGCGCCCCCTCCTGGCCAGGCGGCGCCCGACCTGGATGCCATGGAGATGAACGCCGAATGTTTTGTTTCTCCGCGCTACGCCAAGAAGCACAAGACCAAACAGGTTGGTTTAGGCGCTACGTGCAGTTTACTTCACAGGTATCAGCGCTACATCGCCGCGATTGCTAAATGTTGTTGCTAAATCTTGTGATTGCATCAAGCTGACAGCACGTATCCTGGAGGCACATCAGAACATCGCACGGCTGTCGCTAATGGAGGCCAAGATGCGTTTCATCCAGGCCTGGCAGTCGCTGCCAGAGTTTGGCATCAACTACTACATAGTCAGGTACAGAGCACGTGCTTTATTGTAATTTTAACGTTTCTGGAGAGGTGCGTGTTTGTGTATTGGGATGCTCATGTTTTATTTGGGTTTCTAGATTCAAAGGGAGCAAGAAGGATGAGATTCTGGGGATTTCGTACAACCGTTTGATTCGTATCGACATGTCCTCCGGCCTGCCCGTCACCACGTGGAGGTTCGCCAACATGAAGCAGTGGAACGTCAACTGGGAGATCAGACAGGTGAAGGATCGTTGAGATTTATGTGTTGTGACCTCATCCGCCTCGCTGGAAAGACTTCAGAATCCTTCATCTGTTCGCACGTATCTCCACAGGTGACCATCGAGTTCGACCAGAATGTGACGATAGCCTTCTGCTGCCTGAGCTGCGACTGCAAGGTGGTGCACGAGTTCATCGGCGGCTACATCTTCCTCTCCACGAGATCGAAAGACCAGAACGAAACGCTAGACGAAGAACTGTTCCATAAACTTACCGGAGGCCAAGAATGAGCGCAGACGGAAAAGCCTCTGCTTCCTATTGTGCATTTCTTGTTTTTTTTTAAATACAGACAGGCGACAAATTGAAGACAGAAAAAACATTACATTTCTTAGAAAGTTGTCGAGCTTCACTATGCGCCTCGACATCGATTTTCTGAGCCTCTACAACTCCACTAGAGACATGAAACACAAATTTCATTCAAAAAATATTCCAAGAAAAAGAGAAATAAAATGTAGATTTTAATAGCAAGCTGCAGTTTCCAGTATCTTGCTTATGTTTAACTGACGCTTCTCATCTACTAGAGTCATAAAACAGCATTTCTCCAAAAGATATTTGGTGGTTTTTCACATACAATGATTTGAATATTAGCAAAATGCCACCAAATCCCTTCATAGAGTTCAGGTTTTTGCTTTAATTTGTCACCCGTCTGTATACGTTTTAGTGTGAAAGTGCAGCATTCATCTGCTGCAGCAGTAACAACCACAAGTACTGAAAAAAATCACTGCCAAAGTCTGAGAAATGACACTTTTACCCCCCCATAGGACGGTCTCATGAGTTTTGTGTTTGTCATTATGTGTCCGGCTATAAGCAGCAATGTGTCCTGCACTAGAAAAATAATGGTGTTGATGTAAATATGTAGCCAAGGTTTGTCTTTCCCTCAAAACTTGGATGTTTGTAAGAAGTTTTTTTTCTAAGGTGAAGAGACGCTCTCATTTCAAACTGAACAAAAACCATTAAAGGGTGTTTTTTTTATATATATTTTACAACCTGTTGCATGTTTGTTTATTTGCAGAAAAACAAAAGAGAGAATTACTTCATGTGAATTCATAGACAGTAATGAGCTCTGCTGCTAAATACTACAGTCTGCACTCAGGGGTTTTCATGCAAACAGGGACATTTTCACAGCCCTCCAAAGAGGTTTCAGCTCGTCCCGAAATGATAAGAATTGAGAATAACGAACGCAATTACATTTTTAATCAGTTTTTGTTAAATGGGATTTAATTTACTCGAGCACAAAATAGATTTTTGGTTATGAAATGGGGAGAAATAACAGGAAAATTTCAGTTTTTGTCAATACAGGTAACACAGACTCATTGTTTTTACGTGAACCAATTATGCTTACCGACTCACTAAATACCCGTTCTGATCCAGGAAAAAGCCTCAAACTTGAAGAAAACAGACACATAATCAGTTTCTTTGTTCTGGTAATGTTATGAGAAAATGGCAGTCAGAGATACTGTATGGGAAACATACACAGCCCACTACTGTCACAACAACTTTCAGGGTGTTTTGGGTGGAGAAAGACTTCATAAACTATGTGACTTAACGCCAAATTTCAGAAACACTGAAAGCTTTACTTTGAGACGTTCTTAGCTTTGGAAAGCCTGCAGATCAGCGAAGGTTCTGCTTTTGAATGGTCGATTTTAATGCTTGTATTTTCAGTTTAATGCATGATATCGTTTCCTTATGGGAACACAACACTAGATGCTGCATATTAATTATAAAATGCCCTGTTCTGCACTTCAGTTTGTTTGACTGATTTCGACACACACGACGCTTTCGACAGACCTTCATCAGCAGCTCAGTAGGTTAGGTCAAGTTGTGTGAATGTAGTTTAGTCATTTAAAAAGTGCAAGCGATTCTCCAGCATTTACTTCAGTTTGACAACCTTCTCGTGATAATTCCTGTCCAGTGTAGGATGAGTTCTTCTGCTCTTTCAGCCTCCTCACTGCTGCATTGCTGCACACTGGTGGTGGGCAGGTAGAGCTGGCACACCATTATGAGCAGTTATAAAACACATCACGAGAATGGAGAAAAGCAGGTAGAACACTTGCATATCAAGCAACACTGACACTAGGGAAAGGTTTGTTTTTTGTTATTGTGCAAATCTGAATGCAAAATGTAGAAAGAAAAGGCCAAATGGACAAAAAAAAAGGAAGCACTTGAGGCTCTGATT